TTTCAAGATAATTTATTTCACTATCACTTTGAATAACTGGTTTGAACACTGCATTTAAAATATAAATTGATTAATACAATTTATTCTGCATGACATATCAAGCACATATGAGTGGATGAAACTCACTAGTAACACTTGCACACCACTGCAAAGGATGGAAATGGAGATTTTCTTGGTTTTTAAAAATGTTCACTGACCACAGACGCTGAAATAAAAGCTATATACAACCTTTATGCAAAAGTGGGTATTAATTTGGGATTTTCTTTTTCCTTGAAGTTTTCTCTTACTACTTTCTTTGGGCTTCACACATTCATTTATCTCAAAAAAGACATCAAAACAATCCATTCTCCCGTCCCAGTGGCAGTTGTTTTAAACGCCTCTCCACATCCTAGGAAACACTGGTACTCCTGACTATATAAGCTAGGCATTGAAGACCTGGGACATGCAGGGAAAGTCAATATCAATAAATCTGTGCTTTAGTCATTTGTTCCCCCACCCATGACACTTGAAGAGCTATTCATTCCAGAACACCAACCTCAGTGTTAGAAAAACAAGCCACCTTTGCATGTTCAGTCAGCTTCAGAAATACCAGGAGCTCTCGATTGCTTCTGCCAAGCATAGTTCTCTATGGATACACACAGGCTACAACACTGACCTTTCTAGTCAGAGAAATTTAGATACCCCCTCCTCAAGAGACAGGGTTCCTGGAGACTAGCTTAGTTCTCTATAATAGGGATGGGGGTGGGCAGTGCTCCTGGAAGGTCAAAGGACATTAAATCAGAACCTAGAGTGCTTCATCATAGTTCACTCTCAAAGAATATTGGAGGGTTGAAACGGAAATGGAAAATTCCTGAATCTTCAGAAAAAAAGAGTTTGCTGAGGTACACTTAAATCAAAACATTAAGAGAGTACAAAACAGAATAACAGATCTGGAGGAAGTCCTAAAGCCCCAGGCAGGGGCTAGCTCTTTGGGCAAGCCCTGGACATTACCCCTTCCAGGCTTTAAGGCGAATGGAGAAAAGGAATGTCCCAGGAAGCATGAAACAGGAGTTAAAGAGCCTGGGAGATTAGTGAATGAATGCAGAAAGGAAAGTTAAGTGAAGAAAATAGATGTAGTGGAAGGAAGAGAAACTGGTGATGGATGGAAAACGTGAAGAGAAAGGTCCACTAGAGACTCAAGGACCCGCAGCTGGTCAAAGCCGGAGTGCGTGGGCAGTCAATCTTGTTCTCAGGCCACAGATGTTCCAGTCTCTGACCTCCATTGCAACATCCCAGTGAACTTTCTCGTTCTTACAGACTCACCTGTCGAAGGCCACAGCCGTCATGGAGTAGATACTGGCGAAGACAGCAGCAATGGGGAAGAAGTTGTGGAACTTGCAGTAGAACAGGCCATAGTACCACTCGTTGTGGACCGCGTAGGTGAAGTTCACCACGGTATTGAACGCTGCCATGGAGGCCTCGGCGAAGGCCAAGTTCACCAGGAAATAATTGGTCACGGTTCTCATTCTCTTGTGGGCCAAGATGATCCACATCACCACCACGTTGCCCACCACAGAGGTCACCACGATGACCGTGTAGGCTGCTGCCCAGAGGACAATTTGCCAGGCAGGCTGCACGAACTGGTTGGACTCCGAGGTGTTGGTAGAGATGTTGGGGAAGAGGTCTGTGTCCACAGAAAGAACGTTATCCATCTCAGGGATAGGCAGCAAAGCCCCGGCCCAAGGACACACTCTTTTGCAGCAGACGCCAGAGACTTATGGTCCTGCCACCCAGGAGGTAGGAAATTTCCTGGGCAGAACTCAGTCCTTGCAAGCAGGAGACTGGCTCAGAGAAGTAACGCTTCTTGTTGCGTGGTCTGCCTGACCCTGGTGGCTCCAAGTTCCTTCACTTCTAAGCTCCAGGAAGCATTTGAGTTCAGGCTTCAGGGACAGGCTCTCTTTTGCGTTAAACTGAAAGGTGGAAAGCAGTTTCACTCTGCACAGTTCTAAAAGGCAAGAGAACCGCGCCTCTGCACCTGCTGCTGCAGCAACTCCTACCCCCCTGCTTGCCACGGGAAACGCAAAGCTGGGGCTGTGTGAAGGCTTCAGGAGGAAAGAGCCAGTAGCAGGGCTACCTGCAAAAGTTCTGATTCTATGGCACGATTCTGGGGCCTCGTGTCCAGCTGGAGAGTTCCCGTTGTCTAGCTTTGCTGAAGCCTCTGCCGCCGCCTGCAGCTTCGTAGCGGGTCTTGGCTTGGATCCTGCTGTGCTCCGGAGTTATCAGAACCTTGGCAGGCTGTGCCCGAGGCTTTTATAACCCGCTGCAGAGAAGTCACTGGCAAGGGGCAGTACCTGGGCTGCGTACTCGCTGGTCCCTGTGCGCAGCGCGGTAGCTGCGCCAGCTGTTGGCAACTGTCTCACTCCACCACCGCAGCCACCACGCCTTCTGCCACTCGTGACCTGCTGTGGGCGTTCTGCAAGCTTGAGGAACGCGGCACTCCGCGAGGGGGCGACAAGGTGGCCTGGGAGAACGCAGCCAGATCGGATCCGCAGCTGGAACTACAGTTGTACCAGGGATGCTCCGGAAAAGAACAGGTTTGGGATACATTCGGAGTGCAGAACAGTCAACTTCCTGGGGCACAGCTCTGAGCCCAGCGACAGCCTCTGCAGAGGCGCTTGCCTGTGGAGGTGCGAGTCCAGCAGGTGTGGACACCCGGTGCCCTTTGGCCCGCGCTTTGCCAGGAGCGAGCGCACCGCCAGCTCGCTCGCTTGGCTACCAAGTGGCAGGCGACCACGCCCGGCTTCAGATGTCCGAGAAACAACTTTCCGAGGCTGTGTTGGAAAACCCAAGCCTCTACCTCTGCTCTCTAGTGGACCGACTCCCCTCCCCTGGCTCCCTGGCCTCAAAGTAATCCTAGGCTCCAAGCGTTTAGACGCCTTCCCCAGCCACCCCGGTGGCTTGGCCCGGAGTTATAGGAGCAGCTTCCTCTGTGTTTTCCATTTGAGCCCCTGCGATGGTGCTCCCCCTGCGTTCACTAGGGGCTGTGCGGGGCTCTCTGCAAAGCCTGACGAATGCAAGAGGCACCCGGAAACCCGCATGTCGTCTGGGCTGCGGGATGCTAGGCTCTTGGCTAGCACCTTCTGTAGACTAGTGCTCACCGCCCGCAGACCTGGCAGACTCCTCCAAGCCTGTTAGGCTGGGGCCAGGCAGGGATGGAGTAGCTTTGGTCTCTACCTGTTTTGCAACCGGACTGGAGAGCAGGTCTGCTCGTCTTCTCTCCCCACTCCCGTCCTGCCTCCCTCGGACAGCCTCTGTCCAGTGTGCTTCCGAGGCCTTTTCAAGTGGCCGAGCTACTGCCTGGAGCTGGGAGAAGGTGAGCAAGGCTCGCCAGGCAATCTCAGCCTCTTTGAAGAAGCGGAGACCAGCGGAGTGTGTTCTCTCGGCCGACTGCCATAGGTGGTGGGGGTGCGGAATAGTGCTAGGCTCCAAGGGACCCAGCTGCCCCTCAGCAGGTCTTCTCCATCACTGTGATTCTAGGATGTGTGAGAAGCTGGCGGGGATGGAAGCGCCGGTGCGTGCTCTGGGTAGCGTTCCACTTGCTCTGGGGAAAGCCGCCTTACACAGGAGTCTAGCCAGAGCGCACTGTATAGCACACGAAGTACTTTGAGGCTGGGAAAATTACAGCACTAGCCCGGCTAACATCTTTTTCTCTGGCAGGGGAAGGCAATGGGCTACTAAAATCCGGTTTGGCTGGAGACTAGGATTTCAACTTTTATAGGAACCGTATTTCATTTGCAGGTGCCTCCCTGGCATCCTTAAAATCCCTAAGCTCCGCAGAGCGAACTCCAGAGATGCCTGGCAAACAACACTGCATTCCGGGATTTAGAGCTGCGGCAGCGGGTAGTGGATGGGCAAGCCTCCAATCTCTCATTGCCAAGCTGGGGAGACAGAAGGGTGCTGGTTGAGAGACGAGGGTAGAGGGATGGAGAAAGCAAGCCCTTACATTCTAGTAAAGAAAGAGGCAATCAATTATACATAACAGGCAATGTTCCAGCCACAGAGAGGAGAGATGGGTTCACAGTGAGAGAGAGGGGAGAGAGGGAGAGAGGGAGAGAGAAAACCTCAGTCACACAGTGGGAATTGCCTTTGGGCTCAAACACACTCTGACCAGGGACCTTCTTTTTTCCCACCTGGGGATTACTGCACACACATACCAATTTTTTCCTTTATTCTTTTGTTTCTTTGGCCCCCATTCCTCTGTTCTTCTTCCTGGACACACAACACAATCACCATCCCCAAGTAAAATCCTGTTGGCAGCATATTCTAAATCCCTGCTTATTTGTTCAGGCTTTCTGTAGACAGAAACACAAACACACATAATACCTATACCAGTAAGCACAAATACAGAGCTTGCATTGTGCTCTGGATTCTATTTCTCTCACTTGTAACCTTGTCCAAACACTTCCAAGTCAGCAGGTATAAATTTAACCCATTATTGCCAATGGATAAATATTATGATATAGATGCACCACAATTTATATGTTCATTTTTCTACTGATGAAAATTCAGTTTGAGTTTTTTTTCCACTATTCATGTTACAGGGACTGGAGAGCTGCCTCAGTGACTAAGAGTGCTTGCCACTCCTCCAGAACACCCAAGTTCAGTTCCTAGCAGCTATGTTGGGCAGCTCACAACAGCCTATAACTACAGCTCCAGGGGATCCTACATGCTCTTCTGGCCTCTGTGGGTACCCCCATACATATTTACACATAATTAAAATTAAAAATAAATCTTAAAAAAGACAATACTGAGCCAAGCATGGTGATATACAGCTTCAATTCCAGCACTCTGAAGGCAGAGGCAGGCAGATCTCTGTGAGTTTGAGGCCAGTCTAGTCTAAATAATGGGTTTGAGATTGTCCAGGGATACATAGTGAGATCCTGTCTCAAAAAGACAATGCTACAATAAATATTCTTTTAACATAAAAAAATTATATGTATGAGAGTTTTGCTTGCATGTAGGTGCATCCATGTAGTGCAATGCCCATGGAGGCCAGAAGATGGCATTGGATCCTCTGGAACTGGAACTGGAGTTACAGATGGCTGTTAGCTACCACGTGGGTGCTGGGATTCAAACCGGGATGCTCTGGAAGAACAGCCAGTGCTCTGAACCACTGAGCCATTTCTCCGGCCCACAATAAATATTCTTTTCCTGTGTCTCCAAAGCCTGATGTTTTTTGTCTTTCTGTTTCCCTCCGTCCCTCCCTTTCTCCCACTTCTCTCCCTTCCTTGTTTTCTGTAGTGTTAGGGATCAAACTCAGGGTCTCACACAAGCTAGGCAAGTGCTCTGTCACCCAGCCATTGACGTTTCCTCTCTATGGGATCCATTCCACATGGAATTGCTGGGTAATTTGTAACATTGGAAATGTTTATATAATTAATGCAAATACACTTAGGTTCATATTTATAGTATTATGATGTTTCTGGTCACATGCATATATGTAGATTTGTGTATATCTCTACATTTTAATGTTGCCAGATTCCTACATCATTACATTTTCTTCTAGGTCCACTACCATTTCATATCTACTCCAGCATTAGGTTTTTAAATTTTAATGAAGATATATTTTATTTTTATTTTTGTTTATGTGTGTCTGTATAAAGCTATGTTCATGTGTGTAGGTGCCTGGGAAGGCCAGAAGAGGGCATCAGATCTCCCTGGAGCTGGAGTTACAGTGGTTGCAAATGACCTCAAGTGGGTGTTGGGAACCCAACTCAGGTCCTCTGCAAGTGCAGTACACACTTTTAACCACTGACCCCTCTCTCCAGCCCCTAGTATTATGTTTTAAAAGCTATTTTAGGTTTTTAAAAAATCTGTTTTAGTGATTAGAACATTGCCATAAAAGAATGCACGTCTTCCCAGCTACTACTAGGACTGGTGTCTGTGAAGACCTTTGACTATTTGGATGCTTCTGTCTGTACATTTTTACTCATATCCCTTGCCTTTGTCTCACTGGTTTGCCTTCTAGCCACTCTTTCTAAATGTTATTTGTATTTTGGCTGTCAGAAATACTTGAAAATTTTCCAGTACTATTATTTTCACCTGAATTCACATGTAGCAATTTTATGTGGTTGTATTTGCTTTAACAACATTTGAGTATCCAGTTTTGATTTGAAAATATCTCTCTGTGGTGATTTGAATGAAAATATCTGCCATAGGCTCCAAGTATTTACACTTTTTTGTCCCCACTTAGTGGCACTGTTTTGGGAGGTTTTAGGAGGTGTGGCCTTGCTGGCAAAAGTGTGTCACTTGGGCTGGTTTTAAGAGTTCTTAAGCCTTGCAGAATCCCCAGTCATTGTCTGCTTCCTGTGCCTGCTTGAAGATGGGAACACTTAGCTTTCTGCTTCTGCTCCTGCAACCATGCCTCCCTGTCATCACAGACTCTAATTCCTCTGGATCCTGGAACCATAAGCTCAAATAAACTCTTCTTCCTATGCATTCCCTTAGTCACAGTGTTTTGTCACAGCAATAGAGAGCAGCTAATACACTCCTCAAATCTGCCAACTCTGTTGTCTCCTGGATTTTCTTTCCTATTTTTAATTTTATTTGTTTTTACCTTAAGGTCATGAATTCATCCTTAGTTTATAATTTTATACTATTAAAAGTAAATGACATCAACAAAATAAATCTTTTATTTATTTTTATTTTATGTGTATGATCATTTTGCCTACATGCATGTAAGTGCACCTGTGTGGAGTGCCAGAAGAGGGTGTCAGATTCCCTGGAACTGGAGTTATGGATGGTAGTTCTCCACCATGTGGGTGCTGGGAACCAAACCTGGGTCCTCTGTAAGACTGGCCAGTGCTCTTAACTGCTGAGCCATCTCTTCAGCCCCAAATCATTTTGTTCTTATTTCGATTTGTTTGATTGGTTTTAAGTAAATGACATGAAAGTAGAAGCCAAACTGTCTGGAGGAACAAAAGGTTAATGAGAGGGGGAGGGGTGAAACAGGGGTGGGTTCAGTGTATGGGGGACAGTGCTCAAAGCACTTTACACACTTGAATGAAACTCCACTTCCCACTGCTCCAATTGTGTGTTTAGCTTAGTACTGAAGACAGCTTCTGGTAGCCTTCCTTCTCAAGGACAGGGCAGACTGGGTGTGGGACTGATGTCCTCAGGCAGCAAAGGTAGGATAAGAGGTGCTCTTGAGGGGATTACCTATGAAAAGAAAAAAGGAAATGTCCTTATATAACCTAGTACCACGTATAATGAAAACAGAGCAGAAAAAATAAAACCAAACCAAAACAGAAAGAAAACATTTAAATAAAACACAGCCTTTAAAAATATAAAATCATATGATGGTGTGGAGGCACACACCTTTAACCCCAGCACTCAGGAGGCAGAGGCAAGTGGGTCTCTGTAAGTTCAAGGCAAACCTGGTCTACATAGCGAGTTCCAGGTCAGCTGGGGCTATAGGAAGACTCTGTCTCAAAAAAAGACAAATATATATTATGTGCCTGTATATATATATATATATATGTGTGTGTGTGTATATATGTGTGTGTGTGTATGATCATTTCACACATGCATTATATGTATATACATAGTACTCTGAACAGCATTGTGTT